CATAATTCTCTCTCACACAAATTCTGCATGCACATAAGACTTTCATTGCATTCAATGTGTCGGCGATGCATATGTGTGTTAAAAGGGTCGAAACTGCAGCCCACTTTTATAGATGACTTTCAACCATGTACTATATATACTCTTAGAATACCGCGGTTGATTTTTTTAGATACACAAAAGCGGTAATTTCTCTTTGCAATTCGCCTGCAAATTTTATTTGAACCTCTCTTTTCCTCTTTTCTTCTCCTTTTTTACTGTTTCCTATCATCAAAATTAATGTTGAAGATTTGCGATCAGACATGCCACGAGTTACATTTGTTTGTTTACCCAATTAAACGTGAACACAATTTTAGCATGTTTTTTTCTGATAATTGATTTTTTCCATTTGTGGATTTTTCATGCTATTAACACTGTAAAACATTGCATATGGTTAAATGTCAAAATCGAAATGGACGAATTAATTTCAAAAAACCATCTAATGATCACTGATCATGCACGGTGCTAATTTATGAATTAGTTTCATCTTATTTCTCTCTAATTCAACTTGAATGAACTACTAACCAAAGTATATGTGTATTATTACTATTACTTTTGGTGCTATTGAAGGGGAACATTTTACTTACTTATTATTATTATACGTGTGTATACGTATGATTGTAAGCGGGGCATACAACACATACACACACCAAACAGAACATATTTTAAGTTAGCAGAAAACATAAATAAGCATTTTATATTTCAACATAAGTAATTATTTAAAGTAAAATTGAACATGAAACGACTCAATGTGCATATGCTTACAGGGAAAAATTTATGTTTTTTTACGTTCGATGGAGGTACTTTTTCACCTTTTCTGTAACGCCTATGCGTAATGAAATGTGCTTGAATAGCCCTAGTTCGTGTTCTTCGTTTCAACCCCAATTCAAAACCGAATTATGATCTCAAAATACGTACAAACGGATTCTATTTTGAAATTGGCCATCCAGACCGCAATTTTAAACGGTATTTTAATCTGTTTTTTTTTTAAATTTTTTACTCATCGTGCTGGAGCCGATTTAGGCGTATTTTTGACACCAAATTTATAGATTTCGACTTTGAGTTGATTAAAATGTCATTAATTTGGCCTTTTGTCTGTGAATCTTGAAAAAATTATTTGTGAAATATCCGACGAGATCATTTCAACACCTCCATTATCACCCGCCAAATAAATATCAAAGAGAGAGAGAGTCATTAGCCATCTGACGCAAACCATCCACCAAATGGTGTGTATACTTGTTTGCATCGAGTCGCGTAACATTCAACTTCAATTATACACAATTCTATTCCGCGTCAGTGGAATTTCTGTCGGTTTTTTAACGTTTTTTCTTCTTCTTCTTCTTCTTCTTCTTCTTCCTTCATTGTTTCTTGTATGTCCTCATTCCACTACAGGATACTTTCTTAGTGTTGTCTAATTTAATGGCAGATTTTTTTGTTTTTAACTCGGTTTGTGTGTGTGTTTTGTTTCCAATTCGATTGTGAAATACCCAGCTAGGCTGTTTGTCACATTCAGCGTATGTACAAATGCTTTTAGACGCTTGGTTGACTTTTTTTCTTTACTTCGTTTATTTTTTTCTTTTGCTCGAATATAACACGAACCAATGCACTGGAGAATCGAAAAGTGACTCAACGAATTGTCGGAATCAAACGTAGAAATACGGATGAAAAGAGAGATATGCACAGAAAAACACTGTTACATCAACGAAACGAGACAGGGAGAAACAAAAAAAATACGAAGGCAGTGAAATAAACAAGTTCCGGCCGGCGTTTGCGTTATTTTTACGACAACAAGCCGAGCTGCACAAGCACTTTTTCTTAATGAATATTGATGCGCAGTGCAGAAAAAGTGTACAACATAAAATGGAATGAAATAAAAAAACCGAGTGCTAGATGAATTTTAATTTTGTTAAATGCTTGTAAACTCAATTTTTGCTTTCAAAAAAACGGCGACAATACTTTCTGAGTGAATCTTTTCTCCCTGTTCAATTCGAGGTTTGTTACGCATATGATTATTGTCGCCGTGCCTTATTCAGCTTTCGAGTTACGAAAATTGGCATTTGCAATCGCTCAATGTGTGACACTTTTGCTATTGATCAATCTTTAAGCATTAAATCACTCGAAACAAAATTGCCAATATCCGTTTATAAAAATAATTTTCTCACTCTAACACACTCGACAGTTTTCGGGCATCATTGCCATTGATGAAAGCATCGCATATGGTTTTACATCACGTTGACAAACGTTGGCATGTTGTCGGGAGAATGAAAATCAATTTCAGCTTCAGTAGTGATAGAAGTGGCATCAGCCAAGCGGCTGTAACAGCACCGTAGTCGTCGTCGTCGTCATCAAACTGTGGTATAGCTAAAAACAAATTTACAGCATAAAACTCTCCTTGCAAAGTACACAATATTCATGTCCCTCTATCGTTTGGGATTTAGTCGTGTGTATTTATCTTAATTATCTTTTATTGTCGATGCCTTTCAAAAGGATGGTGCTTGAAACGAAGCATGGCTGTTATATTTTTTTTCTCATTTTATGTGTATGTATATCGGCAGTCTCTATCGCCGTTCCGCAATATAATTTGTGTTATCATAAATGCTTCTTTTGCATTTTGTCAACGTTATAATTCCTCATTAATGGATTTGGTTAATAGGAAATGCTTGGCTATTATTACTCCATCCCAAAATTGCCGGTGAAGCGTCAGAAAATTGATTTTTTTTTCATATTGCCTCATTCAAATTCATTCATCGCTCCTCACTTCAACCACCACCATAATCATTCACTTTCAAATGGGGGACCAGTTTTTATTCTGGCATCGCAGGAAAGTCCAAGATAAATTCATGCAAATCTTTTCAAATAGAAAGTGCATCTCAAAATATTTTAATCAGCGTGGCGAAAACAGAGAAAAGGATGTTATAAAAAGTACAGTTGAAAACACTTGAGCCACGACAAATGTGTCGTGGCGGCTTGAAAGAAGCAAGAGTGTGAATGAATGAATCCGTGTGTTTTTTTGTACTCCTGCCGTTCTTGTTACATTTGAGTTGTCGCTTTTTTTATCGTTCTCTTATTTTTTTCTCTCTCCTTCTTCTGTTCGTTTGGGTGTTGTTATTGTTGCACTACGAAAACCATTGCATTAGCAATTCCCTTTCGGTATAAGGGACGTTTCTTGCTGCACGTAAATCAAGTATTTGCTTACGATACATGATTCTCTTTTCTTCTTATTGTTGTTGTGCGTTTCATGCTGACTGACGATCAAATTAAGACACACACATACTCACACAATCACATTTTTCAGCATTTCCGAATGCACGCTAGGCGATGATTGTATTGTTATGTTTTTGGTCTTATTTTATTTCTTCTTTCGAATGATTTCAATTGCAATACATTGTTAAAGTGCGTTGCGTTGCGTTTCGTATTCCATTGCATAGTGAGTGTGTTGTTATTGGTTGTGTTTTTTTTCTTCTTATTTTGACAAGAGATCGTTTTCCATTTCGCCCTTCTCTACCATTCGCATTTTGACGAAAGCCAAATAACCAAGAGTTTGTGGATGATGCGATGCACTCTCTCACACATGTAAACATATGTACGCATTCGATGCTATGCCTATCCGAATGTGAAACAAATTTTTTACTATTTGCTTTGTATAAGAGAACTGACGGCAAAATTCTTTCTTTGTACACACGAAAATAAACAACCGTCATTCAACACCGATGAACATTTTCGGTATATGCGGACGACAATGATGATGGTGATTCTGATCTGTGTGTATGAGTGTTACATGCGTGTAAAATGCATCTTTATGTTTTCAGATAATTCAAGCAAGAAAACTTCATACACAAAAATTCTGCTTTTTCAGCGTATTTAACACATATAGGGAAGCAAATATTTTTTTGAGCATATTTGGGTTCATACTTCATTTCATGTTCACAAGTTATTCTTTCTCATTCGCACTTCGCTATGCGTTTGGGTTTTCTCAGTTTTCTGCTTACAAATTTTTCAATGCACTGGATCTTATTTGCTTTTGAGCGAATGTTGTGTATTCCCAAGTGCTTGAGAAATGATTGCTGTCGTTCTTGTTTTTCATTATCAGATTCAATATCACATTCTTTTGCATATGGAAATTGCTTCTTTTTTCAAAGACCACATCAGAGATATTGCTCACACGATATACGAGCGCACTAATTTAAAAAGCTGCTTCTGCCGTTAAAACATCTAATTAAAAATTCCACAAATCATTGTACGATTTTCCATACACATGCATAAAATCCATGAATAATAAAATTTCGAAAAAAGAATGCCAGCATTTGACACTCACGCCAGTTCTACCTTAATCAAATAACAGACATGGTATTTGGGCTGGTTGATTGCTTCGCTTTGAACATTAGCACACATTAACGCTGAAAATTCATTTACAAACAAACTGAATAATTGACAAGAACAAGATGGGCCGTAGAATAAGAGTAATGATGGTAACGGTGTGTGTATGAGTGTGAGATAGAAATAGAAGACACATTTTGTTCAAAAGGGAAAGTCTAGTTGATGCGTGTTGTCTCTGTTGTGTAATGCTTTCGATTTTATTCGAATGAGAAGCCGAAAATCATTTTTCTCTCAAAAATTTCAGCAAGAGAATCACAAAATTATTATCCGGCAACAAGACAGAGTCAGAGTGTTAAATGCATTGCATATTCTTACAAGCGCATCATAAGCGCACATCGAATAGCTTGTGTTCTACCATTCAAATACAAAATTTATGATGACGCACACACAATCTAGCTTAAGCGATTACATCGCCTCGTCGTATTATTTGACGCGTTCGGCTGTGTTTGTGAATGTGTTTGTGTGTGTGTTCCGCCTTGTGCATATGCCGTGGTACATGTATATGTGTGTGTATGAATTCATTGCTTCGCACGATGTTATGCTTCCAAAATTGTGACTACTATTTTGGTGTATACGAGACCTGCGGTACAACGAGTGCGGTTCATTTCTTATTTTCGCTCGCAAATCGTTTCAAAGTATCATCGAATATAAAATATTTTACTTTCTGTTTTCTTCTTCGGTTGTTTGATACTGAAAGAATATTTTCAAAAATCTTGTGTGTTGTTCGAGCAACAGAATCAGATAATGAATTTTACCGTCGTATCGAAGAGTAATATTAGAATTATGGCGTGAGTGCGTGTCCTGATAAAAATTCAGTATTATTTTATCGGTGAATTTTTTTTGTGCGATTGTCATAAATATGTAAAAAGACAAAAAGAACACCGTGATATTCGATATACGAACAAAATCGCTACGTTGTTTGACGTTCCAGCGACCGTTTTATGATCATTTTATAATAATGAGACTGATACAACGACCAGCCACGGAATTTAAATACAAACGAAAACGAACATTAAACGCATCAACAACACACGTTCGATAAAAATTTCTTTTTCCCGTTTGCTTAATTTTATTTTATGTTCTTGTTTTGTGTTACACATATACATAGTTGTTATTTTTTGTCGTTCGATTTGATTTTTGGTTCTATTTATTATCGATTTTTAAAATCTGAAAAATGTAAATTCTTCATGTGTTTAAATATGAACATTCAGTATTTATTTGAATAACCACCGATCAACATCAACTCATATGGATCAACACTGTGTAATTCGACCGAATAAAGTCCACACAACAGTCCGTTAAAATGATAAAATTAAACACCATCTCGTGGATAAGTAAAAGCATCAAATTATTTGTGAGTGTTCGATACAAATATTCAGCATAGTGTTAGTGTGGTAGCTTTAAATGAAAAAAAAAATGTAAATTTGTATGTGCAATGATTCGACACATCTGATCGGGCGCGTTCCGCTTCTCATTCCGTTGCTCAAGCATAATAGCGTCGACAAACGACCGGCCCATTAGAGTCGTTGTTTTAAAAAACTAAATTTCCTTTCGAGCCGTTAACAATTCATTGGTTCAAATAACATATACCAAACTATTGCCGATATTTTATAACAAAAACATAAACATTTTGGACTGTGATTTTTTTTCATTTCTTCATTGTTTTTTTTTTATAAGTTTGTGAGTTTGACCTGATTTTTAAAAAACTACAAGACTTAGAACGCCAACGGTCGTCGAACAAATTTTAATGTGATAAATAAATAATTTAAATGAATGTTATGTCAATCACCTCGCACTGGTTACGCTTGTAATTAGTTATAGTATTTTAATTACTGCAATCGAACCGGCTTTGAAAATTAAATGAACGTGCAAATGAGAAGTGTGAGTGTTTGGTTTATTGAAGTTTTTTTTGGACACAAATATGTGTTATTTGCATAGTGACGCTACGAGGTCATAGAACCCCATGGTGGACACACGAAAAACGTTGTTTATATATTTCGAGTGTATTGAACTTAGAATGGTCTATTGTATTTGCAAACAAGCCTATGTTTGGAATTTATTCGTATCAAGTAACTCTTTCTAAAATAATTATTTTCAAAACCCTAAATTCCACATAGTTGCAGCAAGCAGCAAGAAACTAGATGAACCACAAAAAAAACAGCAACTTTTTTCTCACATTCTTGTTTCGTATTTTCATAAAAATACATTTTACAAAGCTATTTTGAATTGAAGCTTCGTCTTCGTTTCAAAGATAAAGAGTAGAAAGGGAGACCAAATCCCTTCTCAGAATTATGTGATCTCTTCAAATTTTATCCATTTATGGTTCGTCATTATTCAGATTGCGTCGTCGAGAGCTCAAAAACAACACTCCCCAAGAAAATCATTCTTTTTTTTGTTATCTTTCGAATATATATCCTTCGTGCCGATAGATCGTTAGGTATATAAAGAAATAAACTTTATATTTTTGTTATATTTTTTCTCCCAAATATCCATTTATCAAAACGTCGTTTTCTGTTTGATCATCAAGGCGAAACATTGAAAATTACCAAAAATATGATAGAAAATGATCACTTATTTGTGTTGTGTGTGTGAACGATTGGAATGAGTGTACACTTCATTTTCCTTTTGGATTCGAGCATTTCGAATGCTTTCATTTTTAGAATTTATTTTTTCCAAACAAAGACAGTTTTTCTCAATAGCATTTCACATGGGACTTTTGGGCGCGTTTGGGCGACACTGATCAGACTCTATCTGTATCAAATTTGATCGAAATAAATTTTCCACCAAAAAAAGATAGAATTTTACAAAATCGCAGCGAGCGAAAAGAAATTTAGGAGAAAATTTATGAGGATTTGTCGGGATCTAATATTTGCTATTGTATTTCAAAATATATGTGAAATTCATGTATATGCGGATGCACCAAGCGAGAAAGAGCAAAATAAAGTATAAATGTAAAGAAAACGACCCTAGCATAAATTTTATCCAACAAAAAAAGGTCGCACTAATGCGCAATCTGAACGAAGGAACACTACGAATAACAATATTTCTTCTTTTTTTTCAACTCAAGATTCATAAAAGACTCTACCTAAATATGGCAATCACGCATATCATTCACACACACACATACATAGACATAATCCTATACATTCGGTACCTAATACACAGGTACGAGAAATAAACGAAGAGAGAACGGTAACAAAAATTACCTTGAAAATTTAAATGGTTTACCAATAACAAAAACAAAATCGTCAATATAAAATGCTTATGCATTCGGTTTGTTCACATAGTCAGCCACTTCGATCGAACACCGAATTGAGAGAGAATGAGTTAGAAAGAGTGTGACAAAAATAGAGGCAAAACGATACATGATGAAGAACGCATCGATGAGTCCCGCACAGCGTGTTCAAAATTCAAAGAGAATCAAAGGAACTCAATGGAAATAAATAAATAATTCAAGAGTGAAATAAAACAAATGAACCAGCCTTTCTTTTAAATCAGTACAACCAATCTCGTTGTCGTTGCTCTTTAAGTCAAAACCACTTTACGCACAACAAAAATTGTGAGTTTAGTTGGAAATATACTTTTTTATTCGCTATTTAAAACCTTTTTCGCTCTCTTTCTACCTCTCTGACTCGTTTTCATTCATTATATATGAGTGCGAGTAAGAAAAAGAAACAACCTCATCGACTCTAGCTCAATTTCGATGGAAAATTCGATTATGAGATTGGCGTCGTCGTCAAATGCAACAACATTCAACTCTTTTCGACTGTTGTTTCAAGTATAAACGACTGCATGAAAAATGCAAACTGAAAAATTTGCGTGCAAACAATGATCCGATTATTTAACCCAATTGGATTTTAATTTCGTTAGTCGTGCAAGAGCGCGAGCGTTCTCTCATACTCGTCATTCATTATGTGTGTGTATATGTGCCGTTCCCTGCATGCACGTTTCAATTCTTCAATGCGAAACACTCTTTCTTGGCTGCAAAAAGTAAAACACATTCTGTCACGTAAAATCGAAAAAAAATATCGAAACAATAGCCATTTCGTAATTCATATAGCTGCTTATTTGCTGTTAACTGCGACAGTTATGTGTCCGTTTTCTCAAAATTACTTGCACACTGACGACGACAAGAGATTTCATTGTCGCACACCGAGACCAACAACGCGTGCGACAAAAGATTGCGAAAAAGGGATCAATATCGAACAAAAGGAAATCGATAAACACTTCCGTAGATATCGAAGAGTAAACGAATAAAGAATCTGTTTCATTTCGTCGTCATCATAGTGCCTGAACCAATCGAAATGGCATTCATAATTTGTATAAACATTTTTGGCATCATGGCTTGAGTTAGATTCTCTCGTGCGAAAATTATTATTATTATTATGATAGAAAATTCAAGTTTGAAAATTGTTTTTCCGGTGGTTTGCCCAGTCACAGCAAAATATGGTAGCAATTTGTTCATTAAATTAGTTGTTTAAATCGTTTACTAGTTTTTTTTCTCTCTCTATCTCACTCTCTTTGCTTGCCTGTTGGCAAAATACATTTCAACATTTGATGCACTTTAATAATAAATATCGTCTGGTTTTCTCTTTTTCCATTTTACAGATATAAACAACGTAGATTGACATAGAAGCTCAACGGAAAATTCGATAACACGCAACAACATAATTAAATTGTCTGGCGTGCGGCGCTTCGAGGAAATACAAGGCGGAAAAAATTGGCGCAGCCATACATACACGCAAAAAAAAACAACAACAACATAGCCCAAAAATTAAATCATCTCCAACGTTTAAAGATCACTCATTTTGATACATACACACTCTCAACCAAATTATTGTGGTTGTTCAGATTTTGCATCGGCACGATCTCATTTCTAAATTTGATTGCAACTAAAAATCGATTATCGCCAAAGCTCTATCATATTTATATCAAATACGGTACATAAACAAATTTAAAATCTCGTTTTTAACCATTTGATGGCATCTGAACGAGTGATGTGTTTTCGAGTAATAGGATAACAGTTGGAACGAACATTCAAGTTGTAGTAAATTGTTGGAGAGTAAGGTGAGTGAGCAGGGAGACGGAGACAAAGAGAGTGAGAAACATTCAAGTTAAAAATTTGAATCAGACAGAGGAAATTGAATTTGAGAAAGAAGAGAAAGAGAGAGAGAAATGTCATATTCGTCAGTAGTAAAGAAAAATATGGCTGCCCAATACGGTAGTAAAACGAGCAATTCAAACTATATCGTACAAAAGGCGAGTGGCAGTGCATATGGATCGGCCACAAGTGCAATTAATGGAAATGCTTCAAAACACAGTAGTTTACAATACAATAATAAATACAGTATGAAAGTCAATTCACATTTGTTGGACCATGGATATGGCGCAGCAGCGCCACAAACATCGTCATACGATAGTACAATGAGTACACGGCTCAACGATGAAACTAGCCATTTCGAAGGCTACACCAATTCCATTGATGCTGGAATTACAAAGTACTATAAGGTAAGTGTTTTGTCTTTTACATTATATGAGAGATGGAAATTCCCTGCAGCGATAGACACTATCCGGTTATCTTGCACAAAATAATGTACAAATTCTCGTTTTGTAATAACTAATGTAAGAGATGTTGATGTTTTTCTTAGGCAACAAAACGTCGCATGAATGTGGCATCGCCACCGAGCATGAATATGGCACCAACTCCAGCCAAACAAGCCAGACATACACCCAACAAGGCTTCAAGTTCATCGTCGGCGTCATCAACATCGTCCGCTGTTGCGGTTTCGATGCCAGCAAAAAAACGCTATTCAGAAGGCACACGGTAAATATACAACACAAAACTTGCCCCCACCACCCCTTCTCCAAACAATGATGCAATAAAACTTATTTCTTTTTGATTTATGCACGCCTTAGGTATGACACATCGTTGGGGTTGCTTACAAAGAAATTTGTCGATTTGCTGCAAGAATCGCCGGATGGCAGTGTTGACTTGAACATTGCATCAGCCAAATTAAATGTTCAAAAACGTCGCATCTATGATATAACAAATGTATTGGAGGGCATCGGTATTCTTGAGAAAAAATCGAAAAATAACATTCAATGGAAGTGCGGCAAAAACGCTGATGGTAATAGTTCATTTGGTTTTGCAAATGAAGCGGCCAATAAGCAACTCGAATTGGAATTGCTTGAACAAAAGGAGAACCATTTGGACGAAATGATCAAAACAATTCAAGAGGAAATTAATGCACAATTCCAAAATTCGTCGAATGCATATATAACGACCGAAGATTTAAAGAATATCGACATATTCAAAGATCATACAGTGATCGTTATTAAAGCACCACCAGAAGCTAAACTTATGGTAAGCAATTAATTGTATTGTAGTTGCCCATTTGAGTGTGCATCGAATTTTTTGAATGTTAAATTTGTTGTTTTTTTTTTAATTGCAGTTGCCTGAAAACAAACCATGGGAAATTCACTTAAAGGCTGATAAAGGAGAAATAGATGTATTCCTCTGTCAAGACGATACATACCAACCATCGTGTGACCCATTGCTCGACGATATCCGACAATATGTTGCGCCGATTGTGGAGAAATATCTGAGTCCACGAAATCATGGAAATGGTAAATATTTTTTTGTTTTTGAATTTGGTTTGGTTCTCGTTTTTTTAATTAAAATTGGTTTCAAATATTTTTTGCTTTAATGTTCCATAGGCAAACCATCATCATATCCATTGAGATCAGCACAACGTAATTTGAACAAAATTCTTCTTGGCACAGAGGACGTTCTGAGTAGTGAGTGCGATTCGACACAAACCACATGTACCATGGTCTCATCTCAAAGTAGCACACAATCAACAAAATCCATCTTTGAATTGGACAATCTGATGAGAAATGTATTCAACGAAACGGATTCATATATGCCAAACACTGGCAATGTGATGGAATCGTCAAATAGCATAGTAGCAATTGCCAAAGATATGAACAGTTCAACATCATCGTCATCATCATCAACCACATTAGCAGCCATGCGATCAATCACTACACAGAATAGTCAGAATTCCAGCAGTGCTCTTAAGAATGATGTAAAATTGAGTGAATACAGTGAATTTGCACCATGTTATGCAACCATTCAACAGCCGACTACCGACATGCATTCACATGCCAGTATGTCGCAATCAAATCATAGCCAATCAAGTACAAATGGCAACGGTCATTTGTCGAAATTATTTGGAGACGATGAAACTTCAATGTTATTGAATAATAACAATCATAAATCCGTACAAAATTCAGATCATCATCAACATACACAGGACCATTTACCGTCAACACCACAACAATCGAGCCGAATACGGAATTCACTTATCTCAGATATAGTTAACTTCAGTCCAATGAATGGAATCATGTCGCAAGACAACGCTTCCGGTGAGTTTAAATATTCACGGTTTTTGTTAATAAGAGAAAAAACTTTGGTCATTCATAGTCGTTTAATTTTTAAAATTATGCTGATATCGGTTGGAAAATTTCTGAGCGGGAGCTCTAGCTGTGATTGCGTTGAAAATTATTTACCTAAATTAATCAAATTGGGATTGCGGTCGTATCACAGTCTGAGTTCTTGCTTAGCGATTTCAAATTCATCAACATATTATTATCCATTCACCATCCACTAAATGCATTCTCACATCCATTAAATTGAAACATTTGCAGCAACTAACTATTTGAAGAAAAAAAACGAACAAACAATAAAATTCAGTACTAACCAACCAATTCAAAAGCTTATGGAAAACTTTGGGCAGAAAAATAAATAAATCACCACATAATTTTCGTTGCACATTTTAACACATATACCCCACATTTACGCTGAATTTCTGTCGGAACTGAAATCTCGTGGGTCTGCATTGGTATTTGATAGTTTGTAGCACCATGAGATTCAGCTCTGGCGTAAATTCCAATGTTAACCACATTCGGCTTCTTTAACACGCACACACACATTCAAACCATCAACTCTTAATGACACACTGTGATCGTTACTTTTCCCCATCAAAATATAAATAATTTTTATAAGATTAAATGATTTTGAACACTTTTTTCGTGTATACCATGTGACTTATTAATTAAAACTCACATTTTGTTCGTTAATCTTCATTGGTTTGCGATCAAAATCGTTTTTTTTTTTTAGATTTTCTGAATGTAGATGCCTTTTCACGATTCCTTGCAATCGAACCGCCATTGGACAACGACTATAACTTTACGCTTACAAACTCAGAAGGATTATGCGATCTATTTGATTTTGAAAATTGTATTTAGTCATGTAGGGCAGTGTTTAGAGTAATGTATCTGTTTTTTTTTTTCGATGGCGTGTGCGTACGTATCCAAATCATCTTCAGCTGCTGGTCTCAGATGTTTTGGACAACGCATGGTTTGGAAAACAACAATCAATGTCCACAACAATGCACACAGTGGACTGCGATCGATGAGAGAAGAAGCGGTTCGGCTCTTTTGCTCGATATCGTGTTTGGCTAACTAGAGTTCAAAAACTACTATTATAACAAATACTGGGGCGAAAAAACAATACAAATCATTTCTTTTTTATAGGTTCTTAGGCTACAAAACTTCATGTGTGTCTAAATATTACAAAAAAAAAAAAAAACAATGAAATTAATTTTAATTAATATATAGTTTTAACAAAATAATTGAGAAGGAAAAAAGCTTGAATACCGACAGCCAACAAACAAAAAAAACTTAAAAAAAAACATTGGCGAACATTTTAGAACGATAAAAAACAAATGGAGAGTTTTTTTTTTGTATAATTTAGATGGAGTAGAAGAGTATCTTTAGATGTATTTTAACGCGAAAATAAACCGTAAACCGCTCACACACAATAAAACTAAAAAGCATGAAAATGAGAAGAAAAAACAATTTATTATAAATAAAATGGTAAAAACATTAAATTGAATGGAAATAGCATGTGCTCATATTGTCCGCAATCAAACGATCATTTTAAGTGAAAAAAACAAAGCGATAGGTAATCCGAAACAATTTGAGACAAAAACAAAGAAAATATTCGAATAAAGGATAAACAAAATGTTCATACAAAAAAAAATCAAATGTTTTTTTACATATATATTTCTAATTTCTAAACACATTTTCTAACTATCCAACAAACATTTGTTGTGGCAAATTCATCCATTATCGGGCATATGTTGACGGTCAATATTGGGGTTGGATTTGTGTGTAGTTTCAGTCAATTTTACCGTTAAAATGGAAAGGAAAAAAAAGAAAAAACAATTCAGTTAGATTGAATGCAAAAATAAACTATCAATTCAATAAAGTACTCACCTACGGGTTCTTTTATATTCCGCACAGCTCTAAATAGGGACCCGTACTGCGGTCAAGGATACAATAGAAATCCTTGGGTTTAAACTATTCACGCCTATTAACTAACAAAATTGTTAAAATATTCTTCTTATGATTATTGTTGATTTTATGCTGCTATCAGTTGACATTGTTCGCATGGTGTGGATTGTCAGGTCTCTTCAACGAATCGGGCAATGGTATGCCAAAAAGACGACACATTCCTATAAAATCAGAAACAAACACAAAACATTAATCAATTAATATGAACACTGAACACCTAACGCTCTGCTCTCTATTCTCAATTTAATATTAATACAATATACAATTATGCACATGCCTTTGAATAAAATATTCTTTGCGGCAACAATGTCACGGTGCCAAATGACTACGTGCTCAATCATGTCTTCTGGTGCAGCATCACCCAATTCATGGTATTCTCGAGTTAATGACCAAGTTTTGAAGATAAATTTTATCTTTGGCACTAAACGCTCGATGTTCTCACGATCTGGATTGATTGCTCTCTCTACAATTCGCTCTTTCTTAAGCTCTTGTCTGCTCAAATTCGTCACAATTATCGGTGGTAGTCCAACAATCGGTTTTGGTATGCAATTTCGACAAATTTTGAAGCGATGCGAATTGGTGTTTCCTGGAAATCGCTCGTGACAATTGGCACACGTTATTGTACCCCATTCATCTTGAAAACTGACCTTTGTGTGCTCTTGTTTCTTGAAACTGATTGCCAATTTACGCGTTCCCGGGCATCTTTTCCGCTTCCTTATGCCCCATGGCCGATTTGGTGCCATTTCTCCAGCACCAATCCAAATCCAAGACGGTTTGTTGTTCGTTATCCGCATGGCAACTTTATCACTTGTTTTGGTAGCCTTGATGTGGTGATCGAGATCCAATCGTGCATATTTTCGAGTCGCATATGCTTTCATTCGCATTCGTAGCATTTTGATGCGATGCTGAATGTACGTTTTCCATGTGGATCCACGCGGCGATGGTATGAATGGGTACGATCTGAGATCCAGTTGTTCTTCTTTAACATACCACCAGGTCAATCGATCTGCCTTTCGATCTCCCTTCTTCTGCTCGGTTTGCCAATGAAATCGTGGATTGGATATTTTAATGTTTTCCTGTTAAATAATTACGTCAAATTTCAATCACGTTCCGACAAAAAAAAATTGTAATAACAAACTTAATTTACCTCAATGTTTGAATTGATATGGCGGCGCACATTGGCCACCCACGTTTTCTCGTTCGGATCGATGGCACTAGCATATGTCATGTTGTTAAATGTGGCCTGCTCCGAATTTTCCACCCAAGCCTTCGCTGGCTTCTCGTACAATATTGACACGCAAACATTATTGCTGATGATTTGCGAGTGAAACCGCTTCTGCTTGCCGATTTGTTTGATTTTATCCATGTCGAAAACCATATTCCACAATTCATCTCTATGGCCGTACATGTAATAGTCCAGTGTGTATTTGTTCATTCGATTGGTCAGCGGATTGCGAGAACTGGGCACCACTCCTAGTACAGTGTTCGCCAAATAATACATATCTGTCATATCCAATCGAACGTTTTTCAGTTGGAATCGGCATAACGGGACAAGTGCGAAATTGTTCACTTTTGGCGGTCGATTGTTCGTTATCAATCCATCGCGACGGAATGCATGCCATTGTTGTGCATATTGATGAAACACTTCGATTTGGCGTTGCATTTGACCAAACATCCACAGTGATTGGAACCAATTGTCCTTAACGAACTCATTGACAGTGACCGGAACCAATTGTCCATTATGAACTTTTTGACACCGCCAACCGATTCTTTCCAGTTCATACAATAAAATGTTCATCTTATTTGTTCTCTCTTCATCATCATGTGTCAGATGTGATCTTGGAAGAAATAATCAAAACCATTTCCCAAGCATTCTTTATCGGGCCATGCAAAATCTTCTTCACCGATGTGAGCCTCGACAATGTTACGAAAAGCTGGTGACATTAGTTCCTCATCGTCGACGTTTTCCGCAAAAACGCCTTTAAAGCATTTGATGAAAAATTTGTGTCCGTTTTGTAGAAAAAATTGTCGGTTCTCATCATCGATGGCTTCTCGAATTTTGTACAATGCCAACAATGATGCCAGTGATGAAATCAGTGTTATTCGGTGGCTTCGATAATCCAAAAACTGAATCACTTTGTCGCGATATTCTTTTCGGATGATTGACTTGAGTCCTTGTTTTATTACCACAAGATTCTTGATGTCTTTGTCATTGTCAGTTCACACAACAATATAAAAATCGTGTCGAAAAGCCAATAGAAAAAAAAACAGAATAAATATTAAGGAAATCACCGCTCACCTGTTTAATTGATCGTCTTTTGATCTTGTTCGACTCATGGCTCAATCGATCATTCACAATTACCGAAAATTTTCCGAATATTACGAGATAATTATCACTAAATTGAATGCAGAAATTGTCATTTTGTGATTGTATTTGATTTAAATTCGCTGAACTATGTTGACTTCATGGTGATGTTCTTCCTCATCAAAATTCGAATAGTTTTTGAAGAACTACTCAATATTTGCTTTGCTTTTATACTATTTTTATTAATGAATTTGATTGTGAGAATAAAATTTGCTGCTTCGTACTTTCCGAATGTTCTGTCAATATTAAATAATGAAAACAAAATCAAACGGAAAATAGACGGCAAAATTCATATCGAAGACAAAAATCGAAACGGGATTTTCTAACTAAGGAGAAATTAAAAAAAACGTTATTTGATTAATTAATTTTCTTTTTATTACAAAGCCAGCGCAAAAATGAACGTAAGTATTAAAAAAAAAAAAAACGAATTTTATACAAAAACTGAAATTTAGAAATAAATAATTTGAAAGACTATTTGATGTCAACTTATATTTGTATAAAATGTTATAACTTTGCATGCTTTCGGGACAGTTTGGGCTGTTAATGGGTTTTATTTCTTTTTAATATTGAAGATACCTCCGCTGATACCTCCGTTGACGATCATTTTTGCACATGGCTCCTTTTCTGGTTCCTCCATATCTATGGTTGAAAAATAAAAACTATTTCAATTAACATGAAGAAATCAACAAAGAAGATTTTTTTCCACTTTCATAAAAAATACTTAGTTAGTAGTAAACCCTTGTTTTTACTCGTAGCATTCACCAACATCTTGAGAACGGACATCATGTTTGTAAATATCCATCCTGCTCCTGCATCATTTTGTCCATTGGACATATCTCACTGGGCCCGGGGTTTTTCATAGTTTTTTCCATATCTAAAATTTAAAAAAAGAAAATTAAAAAAAAACAAGCATTTTAAATGTAATATAAAATTGTATGAACTTACCTTTAAAAAAACCTTCATATAAACTGCAATCAATCGTGAACGCTTTGTTGACAGTATTTAAAATAAAAGCCTGAAGTTTTCCTTGTGATGTGAATATCTCCGGCGAGTTTTGTTGAAGATGATGCAGCTCCCTACATTAGCCATTTCAGGTACCATGTTGGCTGTTTCAGGCTGATCACTTGATCCCGCTTCTCCTTTCACTGTGGCGATCAAAATTAGGATCAAAAAATAAAAATTCATTTTTCTGAAATCAACTGAAATTACTGATCAATCAAGTGAAACTGATGAGCATCACGAATACTCTTCAGCAATTTATACTGAATAATAGACGATACAATTTACAATATTTTCCAAACTGTAGAGTGTAAAATTGCATTTTTCGTTAAAATAAATATTACACTATGAACAGTGAAATTCCTGTTTATGTTTTCATTTTATCGACCCATGTATAGTAGCATTATAATGTTTGAAAAAAAAAATGCATTTTGGACACATTGTTTATAAATTAACATTTTAAAACTAAGAATTGAAAGACAAAACATAAACTTTGTTTTTGATAATTTCTTAACTTTGATTTAGAAAATGTTGAATTTGCTGATTGAATAATGAAATAAAGAGTCTTACGGGAGTAAGACACTATAAAAATATGTCTGACGTTAATTTTGCCATAAAAATTATTTTTGAAACCCTTTTCATAACTAAAGTCACAAAAAATTTGAATTTTTGTATGGGAGCCATGTCTGTATGCTACCTTAATGGCTTGAAACTTTGTACAGGTTATTTTTTTCACCAAAAAATAACATTCGGAGGGTTTGGAGAAATTTCAACCAAAATTAAGAGTACCTCCCATACAAAATATTCCTAGTGAACATTTTGTATGGGAGGTACCCCTAATTTCAATTGAAATCTCTTCAAACTTTCAG